AGAATCTGGACAACCTCAAGGGCACCTTTGCTAAACTCAGTGAGCTGCACTGTGACAAGCTGCACGTGGATCCCGAGAACTTCAAGGTGAGTCTGGGATATGCTCCGTTTTTTTCTTTTCACTTTTTAGTCTTTCACTCTGATTCTTTTCCTTACCTGTTCTCCCCCCACCTTCCTTTTTAACTTAGTATCTACCATCATTGAATGCCTTTTAATATTTACATAATTTCATATGTTTTCTTTCAGTATTCCACATTGTTTCCTTTCTCACAACCTCTTTTTTTATCAAGCTCTTCATTTGATTACTTATCTTTTGCCCCTCTCTCGCCCCCCCAACTTTTTCCTCTACTTGATACCCAAATTATGCACACTAGCTCTCATCTTCTCCTTCTGGACTTGAAAAAGTCTTTCTGTCTCTCCATATGGAGATTATAAGGGCTCTTCAAAGAGTTGTCACTCCAGAGACTACAAATCATCTCAAAATTATAGAATAATTGGGCATGTGATGTGATGAGCATAGGGTGTTATATGCAACTCATGAATCATTGAAAATTACATCAAAAACTAATGATGTATTTATCATATGTTGGTTAATTGAATTCAAATTAAAAAAAGAAAAATTGCATTTTTATAGTCAAGACTCAACGGAAAGGAAAGGAAAGGAAATATCTGAGGGTGATAGACCAGAAGTAGAAGTAGGGCAGCAATAGTTGCTAAAAGACAGCCCAGCATCATACTAATTAGTTAAGTATATGTATATATAATTAAAATCTACAGTATACATACATATATATTCACTGATTTATGCTGATGGAGATAACCTGAAGATCAGTTTGGGCTGGAGTGTGGGCAGAAAAAAATAAATGATTGTTGGCTCAGTTTCTCAGAAGCCCAGCTTGATTTCTGTCTTAATCATGTATATATATACCCAGGGTTCTGGGATCAAGCCCCGCATCGGGCTCCCTGCTGGGCGGGAAGCCTGCTTCTCCCTCTCCCACTCCCCCTGCTTGTGTTCCCTCTCACACTGTCTCTCTCTATCTCTGTCAATTAAATAAATAAATAAAATCTTAAAAGAAAAACATGTATACATATCTATCTATGTCTTCCCCACAGCTCCTGGGCAACGTGCTGGTGTGTGTGCTGGCTCACCACTTTGGCAAAGAATTCACCCCTCAGGTGCAGGCTGCCTATCAGAAGGTGGTGGCTGGTGTGGCCAATGCCCTGGCTCACAAGTACCATTGAGATCCTGGCCTGTTTCCTGGTGACCACTGGAAGACCCTGTTTCCCTAAATTCTATCTTCTGAACTGGGGGAAATAATGTCCACCATCAAGGGTATGGTTTCTGCCTAATAAAGAACCTTCAGCTCAACTTCCTGATTCATTTCACTTATTTTATTTTTTTGTCTGGGGGTATGGTACATCCCCGAGGGTCTACAGATCGGAAGCTCTTGTAGGGGACAATACATATCACTAGTGGATGACACTTTTCCCTCCAAAGCATAGGCACGGTCAAGAAGGTTTTAAATACATAGAGAATACTGGCATTACAGGGGCTCTATGGAAGACACAGCCCTCAGGCTAATGCTTTGACCTATTTCCTACAATTAGTGAAAAATACAGTGCTCAAATAGAGACATAATGAATGATCAAGACACTGTTGTGTTTCCTTTCTCCCTACTTCCCTTGCCTGCAGTGTAGCCTACCATAGCATGCTCCTTCAAGTGGGCCTACTCTAAGGAATAACCTCCCTCTTTTACTTGCTGCAAACATGTCCATAAATAATTCCTTCTCCCACCCTCCCATGTCAGACAAACTGCATGCTTACTTATCACTTGTGATGCCTTTGCACCCTGGCCTCAACGCACTTTCCAATATTGCCTAAGAAAATTTTTTCAAACCCTTCCCCTCTTCCTGTTTTTCATATTTCTTCTTATCCCTCACACTCACACTCTATGCTGTATAAACATTTCTTCCTATTTTGTACTGTCACACATGATTACCGTGCCTTGTGACTTTCCTTCATAGGCAAGAAGTGAATATTCATTAACTGAAGTGGTCGGTGACTGACTGA